GAAAGAAATATAAGCAATTTACGGAGTAAAAACAAGGCCTTGTTGACTCCTTGATGTTTGAGTGTGCAGACTTTTTTCAAGCTCTTAACAATTAATTTGTGCAAATTAATCAGCTGAAAAAAATTGTCTTGGTAATCTTTAATCAAAATCTGAACATTTGCTTCCGCTCTGGAATGGCATTCCTTCTCTGATGACGTCAGTTTGACGGCTTGGGCCATGGCTTGGGCAGAATATCCTTAAACACAACCCTCCAACTGTTAGGTTGCTATGAGTGAGAGACAGATAGGAGCGCAAAAATAAAATGATGCCCTTTATTCAATATTCCATTTCAGCTGGAAATACGTCACTACACTGAAATAAAGTCAAGCAACTTCCGGGTCATGTGGACTTTAAGGGGGCGGTAATATTATAATGAGATCCCTTTGCAACATCACCAAGGAAGCAAAATCCGATGCGCTCGTTTTCTCAGACGCTTGCAGAAAAAGGCTTATCAAAACAAAGTTACTGGGTTAATCTTTTTCACGTTTCCTTGGTTGGTAGATGCACCGGGGACCTGATTATAGCACTTAAAACCTGGAAAAGTCAGATTTTCATGATATGTCACCTTTAATACTGATTTGTGTATCCAGTTTCATGAAATTCTAAGCATGTTAAGTGCCTTAAAAACACCTGAAAAGAATAAAGTTTGACACGTTGCCATGCAAACAGTATTTAAGATGTCAAGAATCCCTTTGCAGTTTTACATCTGCAGTGTTTTGAAATTATTCTGCTTAAGTTTGAAGATAATCGAGTAAAAATAAGAGGCTGATTTTGAAAGTATTTTGAAAATGATACTTCCTGCTGCCAGTTGGTGCGCTATAACTTTGACTCTTAATAGTCACATCTATGTGATCGGCCTCATACGACGAACTGCAGAAGTTTCAAAGTTTCAAGAGTTTTTGAGCATGTTCAGGGCCCCAAAAACCTTTATAATAAAAAAAATTATAATATTAATAATCCTTAGAAAGCCCTGTGACTTGGGGCCTAATAATACTGACATTCATATTATTTGTAAAAATACAGTGTAGTCATGAATTAAAATGCTTTCTGACTGTAAAATATAACATGTTTTAAAGCGTAGCTGAGAAAAATGTATTCATCAGCCAGATGCAGAGGTTTAGTCACTGTTGACTATTGTTTCTGGCTAGCCATCAATTCCCCAGAGTGACAAAGCATTAGCTTGACATGCGGAGATATTTATATAAGCCTGACATGCTCTCGAAGGAAAATCCTAAACATGGCTTTACATTCCTGATCAGTGTGAAGAGACAAAAATACAGAGAGCCAGAATATTTCTTAATAGCTGTAGGTGTGATTTGTTGTTTTTGGAGGGATGACAAATACATTAGTTATCCAGTGACAGCTTTGTCCACTCAAAGAGCTGATTTGCAGGCTGAAGCTGTGAATTGCAGTCAAGCTGAGGAACAGCCACCCCACATCCTATTGGCAAGGGCAGCAAAGAACAGGGTCTATTGGTTCAACGTTGTGCTAGAAAAAAAACTTATTTTTTTTTCCAATGTCAGCCGTTTCCTTTGAAATATAGACGATCTACCAAGTCCACAAATGTGATAAAGTGCATGACATAAAGATGAGAGAATAATGGGTTAACAAGATTCAGACACAGAAATTTAAAAAAGGACATATTTGACAGATTTACTGTCTTTGTCAAGGGCTTTACACAAAATATTTCCAAGAGATTCTGGTAAGAGTGATGCTTTCATGAAGAATGTAGGGTCTAAGTTATGAATTGGCTTGCCATCTGAAATTAGAATTTAGTAAATCTAGTTTTGAAGCTTGGTTAAAAACCTATTTGTATTATTTGACTTTTAATTTAGGGTGTTGATGTGTTATGTGGTGTTTTAATGTGATGCATTATTTTTGATTTTTTTAATGTCCTTTGAATTTGTCATGATTTTTCAGCACTTTGAGTTATAAAGTAGTTGTAAAATGCATTAGAAATAAAGGAAATGAATGTTCTGGCTTCTGTGAAAGATTTATTTTATACACAGCATTGTATTGTGTTAATCAATGCAAATGCCCTAGTAGAAGACGTAACATCCATAACTTCACATGTCTGTCAATCATATGTTCCTGAACTTAATCACTGTGGCCACAGAAGACACTGAAAACTCAAAACTCAAAATGGAGTCACATCCTGTAACAAACAGGCCTGCTGTTCTTAGTTATTGACAAACCATAATTCACCATCTAAACATTGGTAAATCAAATGTATTGAATTAATATATACATTCTTTACAGAAAGTGTTAATTTCAAAGGTTAATAAAATGTCAGAGGTCTGAATTACGTTATTGTCAACTTTGACCTGTGTTGAGAAAACTGTAAGCTTTGTGCACCTATGTGTGAGTAGGTTACTACATTTATTTGATAAAGATCAACTGTTAAAAAACTACAAACAAAAATGTTCCCGTGTGTGAGGTAGTGGTCAATCTGGGACATCTCATTACATCTTATTGGCTTTCCAGGAGAGGTAAGAGTTCCAGGCAACAGCCACGATCTGAACAACAGCCAATCTGAAAAAACACAAGCATGAACATATTACTGTATTAGAAATCATTTATTTATAATGAATGTGACCAAATGCAAATATCGCATTAATGTCTTAAAACATAAATACAATACAAATCCAAATGGTTTTCAGGGGCCTCATTTATAAAATGTTTATAAAATTATAAAATGTCGCCAATATTCGAATTTCTATGCTTGAGAATGACGAGCACAAAGGGGAAAAAAACTTTACTGAGTCTGAAATTGAGGTCCTGCTGGCGGAGGTAGAGGTTCGTGCGGGGTCGCTTTTTATTTAATAATGTTTCATTATTATCTGGACAAAAAATGGGTGTGGTTTTATTTTTTCTATTGACTATTATCAAAATTACTACTTCTAGAAACAACAGAAATAATAATAATAGTAATAATAATTATACAAGTTAGGTTTCCAAAAGTAAGATTAAGATCAATTTTCAGTCATCTTATAAAAAGTGAGCCATCCTACTTTTAAAATCACTTGCCATGACAACTAATAAAAAGTTTAGTATCACGAAATTCTTGCAAAACTTAAAAAAATACATTATTGAAAGAAAAATGGGATGTTTCATATCATAAAATAAATTATTACACGATTATGGTCTCCGGTCTGAAAAAACCTGCATGTGATTTGACATTTCTTTATATTTACTAATGCTGCTCAAATGTGTCATTAATGTACTGACACAAGAATGTATAGTGTATTTTATACAAATATAACTGATGTAAATGACAAAAACAAAGTTTAAGGCTGATATCTCTATTCATTTTCACAGAAGACATTAGGCTACTAAAACGGTCAGTTTAATCTCGCAAAAACTCCCATTAATATAAAATCTGACTACACTGTATTTTTGTTGTTTATGATGAATTCGGTGCTTGCACGTACACCGCTTTTATTATTATTGCAGCTTAGATGTTCCAATAGCTGCAGTACTCCGACTTTGCCACAAGGAATAGTGCGTATGCCTGCTCAGACCCTGACGTAAAGTACTTTTCCACGTCAAAGACCGTTTTTATATGAACGTTGCACGTACGCACACTCTAAGATTAAATCTGGAGAGAGAGAGAGAGAGAGAGACAGAGAGAGAGAGAGAGACAGATAGACAGACTGACTCTAGTTGTTAATCCCCGTGTGGAAGTTCAGGTGCCAGAAAGCAGTAACATCAAACAACGTACAAACAGAAGAAAAAAAAATCTGTTTTAAAAATTCCCAATCGTCAAAATGAAAATAAGAGCCTAATTCAAACGTTTCTCAGCTTCCTTCCCTTTAATAACCTTTCATAATGCTGCTATGCCATACAGTTGCTGAGGCACGTCCTGCATGTTCTTTACCCAGTGCTGCCCTTAAACTGCTGGATTAGTGCCCTGCTGCAATGGACGCATTATCATGATCAATGATCACTTGACTTTTGAGGCTAAAAAGGATGGTTTTACCTGTGGTGGAGAGGGATGAAATAAAAATTGGCGATCTGCACCGGAGGCCAAAGCTGGAGAAATGAAGAGATGTTGCATTACATAGAACATTACTGAATGAACTAAAAAAAAAAGAGAGAGAAAAAAGAAAAGAAAGCACAGCAGGAAAACACTTACATAGTAATTGGAGATCAAGGCATCCATGTAGTCCTATTGGGATATTGAAAATGCAGAGTCAATATATGATCTGACAAAAATATAAATTTTAAATAATAATTATTATTTAATCATTATTATTTTTATTGCTCATACTTCAGGACAATAAAATAGATAAAAACCACAATCCCACTGAAGGAATATTATAGAGAATCAATAGAAGTGGTGGGACCTTTTTCTTGGGCCAGTAAGCAAACACCTAGCAGCATCTAGAATACCCTAGCAACCACATAGCAACATACTAAAAGACAGAACAACTTAGCAACCATTGCAATGCCCTGGCAACCACCCACAACACACACTGTGGCAGAACACACACATTTTATTCAGAAAATAGTATAAAAAGCTTAGGTTTAATGAATAATTTTCAGGCAAAGTTTCATAACTAGTCTTTGTACTGAACATATACTATACTATAACTGAACATAAAATATATAAAGTGTTTCTGACCATGCTGCTTGTTCCTATCCAATGTTCCTTGTAATATTTTGAGCAAACTGACATTTCTTCAAGCATAAGATGAAGGACTATGTGAACACCCAAATACCAAATTTTGATTCATATCAATTTTCATGTAATTAAAATAAATCATGCTGTTGCAAAGACCCTAATCAGAACCATGACAGCCGCTTTTCTATTCATCAAAGAATCCTGAAAAAAATGTATATGGTTTCCACAAAAATTTTAAGTAAAACAACTGCTTTCAACATATTAGAATGAATTCTGAAGGATGATGTAATACTGAAGACTGGAGTAATGAGGCTGAAAATTCAGTTTTGCATCACAGGACTAAATTACATTTTAAAACATATCCAAACAGAAAACCTACTTTAAACTGTAATAATATTTTACACTATCACTGTTTTTACTGTATTTGAAATATTCAGCTTTGGTGAATGTTTTAAGTAAAACCGTCACTGGTTGTTATTCCTTGTTTTCCTTGTCATTTGAAGCTTCTGTTATCCAGACACAAAAGAGCTTGTTACCTGTTCATTCATGCTTTCATCATGTCAATGACGCTGGTACCTAAACCCAGCCTAAAGGGCTCCACTCAGGCAGAGAGTACTCACGGTTCCCTTAAAGTGTGCTGTAAAAGCTCCATAATTCAGTCCCACCTCATCAAGCGCAAGTCAACACCCTCCTTTCCCTGATGCCATATAAAAATCAAGTCATCTGGAACACGAGGGCTCTTTGCCTGCTAGTGCCATCTTTTGAAAGGTCAACTTAGTGAGATTGAAAAGAAGCCAGTATTAGAAACTTGTGCTCGCTCTGTTTGTACACTTTGCCTTAACAGTTTCTAATTAAGAATGAACAAGGCACCGGCCACCTGGGGTGAAACTACCGCGGGGCTGAGACGTCATTATATTGTTTCTCCTGAGCTTGACATCACAGGAGTGTAGCCCCCCAGGAACAGAGAGCTTTTCATTTTTTTTGGACCGTTTGGAATACACAAAGACACAGAACACAACTGGGATGCTAATATGCTATATCTTTAGAAGTGAGCAACATCAAAGACCAGCCTGAATGCCCTGGAATCTGCTCACTGATAAAAAGCTGTTGGCAATTGTTCAAAACAACCCCAAAGACACAAATGTGCTGTGTTCTTGTCACTTCATTATGATAGTGATCTCTCTATTGTAGGCATGCTCCGATCCGCCTTTTTCGCCTCCGATACCGATTCCGATACCTAGGGTTCAGTATTGGCCGATACAGATACTGATCCGATACCAGTGAAGTTTTTTTCCCTCATTTAAATAAATGTCGAATTTATATATCTCTGTGTGTGGAACTGATGATGATTCTTTCACAATCTACTAGATACAGACTACTTCATTATAAAGAAAAATAAAATAAATATGAAAAAATATAGGCCTATGTATATTTATAATCTATGACAAAAAATTATAAACTAGGTTAGTGGATAATTCGGCAGCAAAAGTTATTCTAGAAAAATCAGTGCACAATAATTTTAGAAATCTAAACATTTAGTGAAAAAACAATATTTTGTGTGGAACAAATAAAAGTGTTGCACTAAATATGGTAAAATGTTAAACATTGCTATTTGTATTATAAAATCCATTCATTAAAAACATCATGAATGTATTTATATATACGTTTATACTATAAAATTAAAATACATTTCTTTTAAATGTATAGCATATTTTTTAATAAGGCAACAACATATGATAGACACGATAGGACAAAACAAATACAGTGCAGCACGAACTGTTTTTATACAGTCAACCCTCTACGGACACCTTGGCAATTGAATCGCCATCGGCTAGTATATTTTTTTGTTTACTCGCCAGACAGAAATACTTATATATATATATATATATATATATATATATATATTTATATATATATATATATAAAGTTATGCCAATCATAATCAAGTATGATTTCATTCATTCATTATTTATTTATAAAGCAAATTTAAAAACAACCCAGGGTTGACCAAAGTGCTGTACAGATAATAGAAGTCAAATAAAGATACAAATTATAATATCTCATAAAAAAAATAAATAATAATAAATTAGAAATCCACACTAAGCAAATGCGTTTTAAGTTTTGATTTGAAAGAGGAAAGTGATGACACCATTCGGATCGAAACCGGTAGGCTGTTCCAGAGTTTGGGGCCTACTGTCGCAAAAGCTCGGTCTCCACGATGTTTTAACCTCGATCTACACACAGAGAGCAATCCAAGGCTGCCTGATCTAAGTGACCTAGAAGGATTGTGATAATGTAAAATGTCAGAAGCAATAATCAAGGCGTGAAGTAATAAATGCATGGATAACTTTTTCAAAGTTCTTTAAAGAAAGAACAGGTTTGACTTTTGCGAGACGTCGTAAATGATAAAAACAGGATTTAACAACAGAATTAATTTGTTTATCGAACTTGAGACCTGAATCAAACAACACACCTAAATTTTTCGCACATGGAGTAACATGAGAGCTTAAGTCGCCAAGGTCCAGATCACCAAAATCATAGGAATCACTTGGACCAAACAGCATAACTTCGGTTTTATTCTCATTTAAGGCTAAGAAATTCTGTGTAAGCCAAATTTTAACTTCATGTAAACAAGCTAGCAGAACCTCTATGGAACTTGAATCATTATGTTTAAGAGGAAGGTATAATTGGGTGTCATCGGCATATAGGTGGACAGATACTCCATATTTGGAAAAGATGGAACCCAATGGCAGCAAGTATAAGGAGAACAGTGTTGGAGCCAGAATAGATCCCTGCGGAACACCACAAGAAAGATGTGCAACTGAGGAAGCGTGTTTTCCAATACAGACAGAGAACATCCTATTAGGTAAAAAAGACTGGAACCAATTCAAAATGGTAAAAAAAAAATCATAAAAAGTATTTAATAATAGAAGTTTAGTAATTAGAATTAAAACTTGGTAACCATGAACTTAGGACTGGTGCTGGTGCTTTTTTTGGTCATTCAGTGTTCCTGTAAAAAAAACGAACAATAATACTGATAAGATATTATTAGCATTATTAGTATTATTATTAT